GGACTTGGAATGTTCTACAAGATCTCGACCCACCCCAACTAAGCTGCAAAAACGAGGCCATAGCAAGCCAATACATAAGTTACCTCCTCCTTAATGTTATTATTAACCTTCATTAAACCTCATCTCATGCTAGTTGTGCCCCAATATGGAGGCTCTAAATCAAATAGATCATGACTACTGGCGTATTATATCGGAGGTTAAGTTACTTTTGAGTAGCATACAAAACAAGGAATAATGTACAAATGGAAAAGGATGAATAGTATATTAATATAAGTTGAAATAAGCATAGCATCTGGAAGTATCCAGAATAAGTATCATCAGTGGGTGCAAAAAAGGTTTTTAAAGTAAGAGTAGTGACTCATTAAGCCTTTTGGATGGCATTAAAACATAAATAAATGGAAAAGTGCTGCATTTGCATGCACAAATTAACTCTTTTTTGGGATAACCAAGAGATTCGATGAGATAAACCGATGTCAGAACGGGGACTATGAAAGTAAGGTAAGGACGAAAAAAGTCTAATAAAAGTGGATATGCCTACCTACCTGCGAACTAAAGCAAAAACTATGTCTAATATTAAAAAAATGGAATATCCAGGTGACCATGAATGAAAAAACTCTTCACAAGTCTATTCATACAACATCCGAGGATTGACAAATTGAATCAGGAATGTACTACATAGCATGCTGAATCTGCAAGCAGAAATATATTGGCGAAAAAGGGAGAAAATTAGTATACGAATCAAGGAACATCAAAGATTGTGCAAAAAAATTGATACCGAAAGATCAGAATTAGCGAAGCACGTCGCACAAATAGGACACGAGATCAATTGGAAGGCAACAGGAAGAATGTCCAAAACGCCATGACGAGACCAAGTCAATAAAACGAGGTTAACCCACTTCTATGCATCAAAAGGAGACTGCGATCATACCGAGGGTCACACCATCTTGGTCTTTTAATCCTAGATTATCTATGGTCTTCATCCTAGGTACCAAGTAGTCATGAAAGCAGCTCGAAAGAGCACACCATACTACACTAAAAATAAGCACAGTAATAATTTTGACAGGGAAGGCATGATAGGACGATATAGGAAATGTGAATAGCCCAGGGCAGAAGGGGAGATACCACAACTGTTTAGCACACGAGTGGTCAAAGGATGGGCTTCACTTGTCTCTTTGACAAGTTGTAATATGGTGCTACGAATGACGAGACTCACTGACGATGCCGGCGCAACGTCTGTAACTCCAACACGTCTACGGTCCAAATTTGGAAATGATTATGCATACAATGGACTCCGGCCTAGGTGCGTTCCTCTAAGTCTTCCTACCAATATGACCATGTTGCGAAAACAAGGTCAAACAAATTCTATACAACGGAAGGAGACTGCAACCACAAAAAATACCACACCATCTTGGTCTTAATACCTTCGATTAAATTATGGAAGTAAGATTGCCAAACAATGCACTAATTACAGCCGGACAAAGAAGAAAATTGTAAAACAATCCTGTCGTTTGGCCTTTTTGAATTGTTTCAAACATTATGGTATCGTTCCTCGTTTCTGCAATCTAATGAGGAAGTGTCATTCGGACATCTTGCATGTTCACCATACAGGTGAAATACTTTATCACGCCTCAATCCAGAAATTAGAGGAAAGTTACAAGAGTGAGAGGCGTAAGCTATTTAAGTTAATAGATCTTAAGTCTAGATTAAGGAAGGATCTAGGATGATTTTCAAAAACTCCAGAGCATGACGGACCAGAAGTCACAGAGGGTTAGGGATCTGATAAATGAGCGGCATGACAAGAAATTGCTTAGCTATGGGATAATAAGACAGAGCAAGACCAAGCCAACCTGGGAAAATTTTGATGGTTTTCTATTGAAGGCATCAACTGTTAGAAACGACGATAGGACTAAGGTAGTAAACCTATCTTCAATCTGTCTGGATTTTGAAACTACAGATCTCTTAAAGAAGGGACTACATTTTTCACTAGGTAATGAAGGTAACGTTCTTAGTTATATTCTGGTGAAAGTTGTCAAAATAACGGATAAATATCCAAAAGATACAAGGCGGGAGATAGAACTGGAAATAATACCACGAATCCTGACATATCAAGAACCGATACACAGGAGCACATTGGCTGGTATACGAAAAAAATTACAAAAGAATGATCAAATAGTTCTTTAGGCGGATAAGGGAGGGGCGACGGTTGTAATGGACAAGAAACAATACACGGAGAAAATGGAAAGTAGCCTTGGCGACCGGAACACTTATCAAATACTAAGCAAGGATCCAACCACGAAGATTAAGGCAATATCCTTAATTTTAGGAAAATAGATCGCAGGGGAATGAGAAAGCAACAATCAGAAGCAAAGAGGAGATGTCTTCAGTAAGCCTGATCAAAACAAGTAGAACCACGACAATTGTGGGTTGGCACACAAGAGACTAGGACGTAGGAAGCGATGGACATGGTATTACAGATATAAATAGGAAAGACCCGGTGGAGATTAAAGCTATTTGGCTAAAAATAGTCGTGTTTGATCATAGAAGTGATCCTAGAATAACGACTATTGTTAGTCAACCAGCTCTAGTTTCCACTGTTTCTATCCTCTTTCTATCTATGATACCAAGTCTATGACTTACTATGCCCTAGCCAGCAGTACCGCAACATTTGTGGGTTGGCACACAAGCAACTAGAGCATGGCAAGTCATAGACTTGGTATTAGGGATAGAGAGAGGATAGACAAGGCGGCGATTGGAGCTAGTTGGCTGACAGTAGATTTTACAAGAGACGTGGTTCATCTAGCAAAGGCATGACCATGAGACTTACTCATAGGCTTGAGCCTCTAATCAATCGCCCAGGTGCAGGGGATGGACGAATTACGCCTCGAGTAGCACAGATGGGGGGGGGGAGGTGTCGAATGAAATACATGT